GATCCGACTCGCCAAAGCCGAAGCGTCGTACTCGAAATCTTGAAAGGCCTGAAAGCGCTGCCCCCCGTGGCGCGCCTTGGCTTCTGCTTCAGATGCCCATGAAATGTCGGTTTAGGGTTTAGGGTTTAGGGTTTAGGGTTTAGGGTTTAGGGTTTAGGGTAGCTCGTCTCCGGAGGATTCTTAATTCAGATTCGCAAATGGGCAGCTTGCTGGCAGCCAACAAGTCCGATTTCAAAAGGGTTTAGGGTTTCAGCTGCTCGTAGGTACATCGGCGGGCAGCGTTGGGGATCGGCTTTTCCGGCTCCTGTTGGGGGGGGGGGGGGGGGGGGGGGGGGGGGTGTGTGTTTGGGTTTAGGGTTTGGCTTGTAGGGTATAGGGTTTAGGGTGTTAAGGGTCTAGGGCTTAACGCCCAAGCAGAGACTTTCGCACAGGGTGGCTATAGGCTTTGTGGTACTTTACTGTAACTTTAGATCCTTACCTTTTTTGGGTTTATGGGGTTTCTTATTAAGGCAGCTAAAAGTTTAATTTATAGCTACCCTCCAGCCAAGTAGGGCTTAACGCTCAAGTAGAGCTTTCGCAAAGGGTGGCCAAGCGTTTGCCTCATCAAGGACATGGAACGACTCATCTTTACTTTTGCTCAGCATGCTGTTTTTCAGCAACAAATTGCCCAACCCTAAGCCCTGCCTTAAGGACTAAATGGAACCTCAAAAAGGGCTTATATAGCTTGATAAGGGTTACAAGAGCTTAGGGCATATATGACCCCAATTATAAGGTTCAGTTTGTTTCCAAGGTAAACCCTGAGCGTTTCGGCTTTTGAGTGCCGCAGGTCGCAGTGAGTCGACCGTGGATGTCATGGGCATCGCCTATGAAGGCTGCCGGGTTTAGGTTTCAGGTTGTAGGGTTTAGGGTTTAGGGTTCAGGGTTTAGGGTTTAGGGTTTAGGGTTTAGGCTTAGCAGGCCCTTGCGATGCTTCCGGAACCAGGGACGTTTTGGGCTTTGAGTGTATGTGGAGCCTGAGATCGTATGAGAGTTGTGGGACTTAGTCAAAGGGCTCTTGTGAGCTCGTCTCTATGCAGGCCTTGCATCAATCAAAAAGCCTGCGTGACGTGCAGGATTTAGGGTTTCGCATATCCCTAAACCCTAAACCCTAAACCCTAAACAACCGAAAAGGCTTAGGGAACGCTCCGTCAGGAGCTGATTCCCTGCCACTGGTGCCAACGGCTCCAGCCACGGCGCAGGGCTTCATCGCTGAGGCGGGGGTGTGGTTGTTTAGGGTTTAGGGTTTAGGGTTTAGGGTTTAGGGTTTAGGGTCTAGGGTTTAGGGTTTAGGGTTTAAGGGTGCAAGCTTTGATATACTTAGGCCTTATCATCATTACGAGACTCAGGGTCTAGGGGTTTGAGTTTGGGCTAAACTATCCTTGCAAGATGACAAGGCACAGGGGTTGAGGGTTGGAGGGTTTGTGGGGTTTCGGGCTCAAGATTTAGGGTTGCGAGCCAAAAGCCGGTTGCAAAAGGGTTGGGTGCTCGGTGTTGAGGTGAAAACTGCCCTGAGCCCTGAGCCCCAAGCACGCACGTCCCATGCTTGGGAACACTGATAAACCCTACCGGTCTGGGAATCTTACACGTGAGGCTTAACTATACTATAGAAGCCTAGATAATTACCAATACTATTTAGTCATTACAATAGAACCCAGTTAACCAGAATACGAAGTCGAATCAAAAAGTTCCCTAGCTTAGTCTTGGACATTGCCACCGGATTGTTGGACAGCTGGTGGCCTTGCATCCTTTCTCAGATAAATTTAGATTGCCATCACCTCCCTGATCTTAGCATCTGCTCACCCCTTATCGCCAAATATTCTCATGGATCGTGTAGTATCGTAGATGAGACTTTTCAGTAGTAGGGGCCAGAGAGGTTGGATGATCAAGTTTCGTATCAGCGGGAGGGCATACAAGGACCTAGCATCTTGGGATCCTTAATCCCTAAACCCTAGACCCTAAACCCTGAACCCTAAACCCTAAACCCTAAACCCTATACTAAACCCTAAACCCTAATCGCTCTTCAATGCGGACGACGCTTGTGAGGATGACGACGGGCTGCAACTTGCCGCAGTGGCCCAGGGGCGCGGAGCAGTGAGTTGGTGTTCTCGGACGATGATAGGGGGTTGTGATCTTCATGCCAACCTCTAAACGGGAGTTTACGAAAATAGGGGACCCCTAGATTAGACCCCCCAGATAGTGGGGTTTCCTTAGAGTAGGACCCCAGTAAGGTAACCCTAATCGTAGACACCAAACTACCCAAAGGCTCCTATGTAGTGTCTTTTTGTGGGGTCGTATACTCGAACCCCCTATAGCTAACCTACAAAAGGAACTACATTGGCGCGATCAGGTAGAAGCCCCAAACCACTAATTCCCTTCAAGAAAGTACACCCTGCAGCTCGGCAGCTTGAAACAGCCACCGGCACGGTTTCCCAACCTGCCAAGGTTGCGTGTCGGATTGCAAGCTGATTCGCTTAGGGTTTAGGGTTTCGATATAGTGTGTGTGTGTGTTCTTATTTTTTGGCACCGAATTGTCTTTGTGTGTTCCATACAAAAGTAATGGCGCCTCGAAAAGACGAGCTACAAGCAACCCTAAACGATTTACAGTTTAGGGTTCAACATTCCTTCCTAAAGGGATGTGGGTGAGCAGGGCGGAGAGAAGTTAATTTCGAGGTTGTAGCCCTGCCACTTCATCAGCCTTGCCGCCTCAAGCCCCAAACCCTCCGCAAACCCCAAAACTCACCGCAGAAGCCCTATGCACCCCATGCACCGCAGAGGGGCAGCCCCCTGCATAAATCCCATCATCCATACACAACGCCTTGTTACACTCTCTAGAACCCCCAAAGAAACCCCAACAACTCCCCAAGAAGTCCTCACAAAAGCGACTTGTAAGGCGTAGAAGCCCAGGTACTATGTCGGGGATTTCGTCTCGGATCACACCCCAGGCTTCGAGGTTCGCTTTGCCGTTCCACAGGATTTGGGGTTTAGGGTTAGGGTTTAGGGTTTAGGGTTTATGGTTTAGGGTTTAGGGTTTCGGGCTTATCTCTTGGACTTCTTGTTTAGGGACTTGGGGGGGCCCGATATACGACTCAGGTTCGTTGGACACTTTGGGTTTGGGCTCTACCAAAAGGGCTCAATGAGCTTGTGTAAGTAGGTTGGGTTTAGGGTCGCGGCTTGCGTACTGTATCTACCTTGCCTCATCCTGCTTTTACCTAGAAAGAAGTAGCCCTAGACACTAGGAGACCCCGAACAGGCTGCAACTTGCCAAACGTCTTGATCACCCCTCACAAAAAAAACCTACATCACGACATGGTCTGCATCATAACCCCTCTGAAAAAAACAAACTAGCTGCAGCCTAAGCATGAAACCCTCACGTCATAATGCCGCTGCAACCCCATGGTAAGCCGATATTATTCCCCACTATCAACATCCTGAACCCTCAACCCTAAACCCTAAACCCTCAACCCTGAACCCCAAACCCGAAACCCTAAACCCCAAACCCTAAACCCCAAACCCTAAACCCCAAACCCTCAAAGAGAACCTGGAAGGCGGCTGCCCTCAGTGGCTTGGACTGTGCCCGGCACCTCTCAGGGCGCATGGCTGCGGCCGCCTAGGGCGCAGGGCTGAGATTTTGCAGGACTGCTGCCTAAACCCTAAACCCTAAACCCTAAACCCCAAACCCTAAGCCCTAAGCCCTAAGCCCTAAGCCCTAAGCCCTAAGCCCTAAGCCCTAAGCCCTAAGCCCTAAGCCCTAAGCCCTAAGCCCTAAACTTATCCCCCTACTGCGGTAATTCATCCCGAGTTAAGCCACATGGACAACGAACCCCGATGTCGGGGGGCTCATGTAGCCTGGTCGACCACCTGCTAGCTCCATTTTCTTTCTGCTGTACAGGCTTAGGGTTATCATAGGGTGGTCCTTTCGACGCATGCATCTGGTCTTGCTCCACTCTATCATTAATGTAGAGGTTGAGGGTATAAGGGTTCAGGGCTTATAGGGGTTAGAATAGTTGAAGACCCAAACCGAAGGCAAAGCTGTGAGCATCATAGGGTGTAGGGTTTAGGGTTTAGGGTTTAGGGTTTAGGGTTTAGGGTTTAGGGTTTAGGGGTATTAAGGCATTCACGCATGAGGTTGCCGTGCTAAGGCGGCGATGTCAATATTCTAGAGCCTTGCCGTGGTAGGCAAATTCAAGTCCCCAAGCCTTTCACCCTGCTGAGATTCCTTTAAGTCTATAATCAATATTCACGGTTTAGGGTTTAGGGTTTAGGGTTTAAGGTTTAAGGTTAAGGGTTTTCAACACAATGCTTGGGCATACCCCTTGAAAGACATTGAGGGGTATGGAAAAATCCTTCCTTATATTCTCCTTTTGTGTGTTAAGGGGCATTGGTGTGGGGCATGCTGCATGATTCTTGGATGAAGTCTAAACCCTAAGCCCTAAATCCTTTCAGGGGGTATGGGTTTGGGGCATGCTGAATAATCCTAAGATAGAAAGCATGGTAACTGACAAGGCTCCCAGCTTCATGCAAACCCTAAACCCTAAACCCTGAACCCTGAATAATAATCCCTATATTGTCCTTAATAAGGAAAGCTTTAACAACAAATTGGGGGGTTCTTAGCAATTCGTAGAACCCAAAACCCCGAAACCCTAAGCTTCCGACCTATTGGATGGGCTCCTCTCGCAACCCCAAAAGTGACTTAATTGGGGCCAACTTCCTCATAGGTTTAGGGTTTCGGGTTTAGGGTTTAGGGTTTAGGGTTTAGAGCTTGCGCATGAGCCCGTCAACTATATAAATATAGAACTGTTTTAAGCCAAGAAAACTCAGAGAAGCCCCCCCCCCCCCCCTCCAAATCCCGAGCATCCGCCCTTGGCGGGGTTCACTTTGCCTTGCGTGTTCCAGAGCATTTCGTGGCGCGTAGCACGCTCTGTGTGTCTGGGATCTTCGACATCTTGGTGCAACAACACGCAATGAGGGATGCGGCGAGAGTGGCACCGGCCGAGACGTGTCAGGAGGAAGGTCCCAAGGACGGGCAAGTGGCCGCAACCGCGAGAAGCCTTGGTTTGCCAGAGTTCCTCGGTCTGCTTGCGTGCGGGGATGACGCCACCCTGCGCGTAACAGCCCTGGAGTCAGTGAACCGCAGCGTTTCTTAGTAGAAGAGTAGGAAGCCTTTAACCTTTTTGGGGTATTCTCATCCCAACAAAGGCCAACCTTTAACTCCCCCAGGTTACTGGACAACTAAGGTTTTCGAGACGACGGAGAAGGAGGCCATCATGCTGTTCAGCAAAGTCATCCTAATGCTCAACGACCCCGTTCCTTCGGGACGAACTGAACCTTAAAAGGTTTAAGGTTCATATACCTTGTTAATAGGAATTCTAGTAGTAATAGGGTATATGAACCCCAATTTTAGGGTTCGTTTGGTCCCCTAAGGTTTGGGATGTCAAGCGAGCTGCAATCCAATTGCTTTCTGAGCTGGCTCCGCGATTCGACCTCGACACGCTGCGCAGTTTGAAGCGATTGCTCGTTTACCCTGATCCTTTGGTACCTCGCAGACTAAATCAAGCCTAGAAGGGTTTATGGTCCATATACCGTACTGGCAGCGAGTATTTTGTAGTAAAGGGTAGATGACCTCAAACTATAGGGCTCGTTTCTTCCCCAAGGTACAGACGATGATTGCTTGCGTGCTGAAGCCTGTGGATGCAGAGGGCTACTGCCGGCAGGTCCTTGGTGACCGATCGACAGTTCAAGCTGGTGTGAGTCGTCAAGGACGACTTCTTGAGTTTCTTGATGCAAGCTTACAGGCAGACCGGGAGATTGTCCTGGCAGCCGTGAAGCAGGACGGGGAATCCTTGAAGTATGCGCAGCAGAACTTACAGGACGACGACGAGATCGTGCTCGCCGCAGTCGCCGAGTGCGGACCTGCGGTTGAGTTCCTTGGGGACCAAATGAACCCTAAAGTTTGGGTCATGTACCCTATACTACCATAATTCCCATTAAGGTATATGAACCATAAACCCTTTTCGGGTTCATTTCGTCCCCAAGGTTTGCCAGCCGGGAGATCATTGCCAGACACGCGGGTCTCCGGGCACTGCGTGAGGGACGAGGTCTCTGCTTGTGCGGTGACTACGTGGTGTTAGAGGCTTAGTAGTAGAGTAGGTACTCTTTAACCTTTTTTGTTGGGGTAGTAGTACTCTTTAACTTTTTTTGGGGGTAGTAGAAATCCCCCTTATCATATCCTATCATCCCAAAGGTTCACGTTTCGTTCCCCCAGGATACTGGACAGCTAAGGAGGACCTCGGCCAGGGTGCCTATGGCAAGGTGGTCAAAGCTGAGCACCCGGGAACCCAGCGCCTTGTGGCCATCAAGAACCTTGGGGCCCAAATGAACCCTAAAATTTGGGGTCATGTACCCTATTACTACTAAGAATCCCGAATTAAGGTAATGTGAACCATAAACCCTTTTAGGACCAAATGAACCCTCAAATTGGGGTCATGTACCCTATTACTACTAATAATTCCTATTTAAGGTAATATGAACCATAAACCCTTTTTAGGGTTCCTTTCGTCCCCAAGGAAGATGTCCTACGACCCTGATGGGCGAGGAAGGAGTATCCCGGCCTACGCCGTGCGGGAGGTGTCGCTGCTGCGCAAGTTCACTCATCCCAACGTGCCTTGGGGACCAAATGAACCCTACAATTTGGGTCATGTACCCTATACTACTATAATTCCTATGAAGGTAATATGAACCATAAACCCTTTAAGGGTTCATTTTGTCCCCAAGGTGGTGCAGCTCCTCGCTGTGTATATGGACCGGAGCGACATTCGGCTGGTCTTCGAGTTTCACCCGGCTGACCTTCACAAGGTGATCACCCAGTGCAAGCAGGGTTCTTGTGACCTGCCGATCACGGAAGTTAGACAATACGCCACGAACATCCTGGATGGCCTGTATGCATGCCACAGCAGGCAAATTCTTCATCGCGACCTTAAGCCCGAGAATATACTCCTTGGCGCCGACGGCGTCCTGAAGATAGCAGACTTTGGCCTGGCGCGTGTGAACCAGCAGCAGCAAGCATTGACCCAGAATATGGCGACGCTTTGGTACAGGAGTCCAGAACTCCTCCTGGGCGCAGAAGGCTATGGATTTGAAGTGGACTGCTGGTCGGCAGGCTGTGTGATCGCTGAGATGTGCACCGGCCAGCCGTTGTTCCCAGGAGACTCCGAAATTGGCACTTTGATAAGGATCTTCCAGCTTCTTGGTAGTTGAGTGAGTACACTTTACAGTTTTTGGGTACTATAATCTCCTATAGAACTGAAAGTGCACACCTTTGGGGGCTTATGAACTCAGCAACTAAGGCTTCTGGGCACGCCGTCACAAACGAATTGGCCGCAGGGCACGCAGCTCCTCCATTTTAAAGACAAGTTTCCGAAATGGCAAGCAAGAGGCCAGGGCCTTAAACTCATTCTCGGTGTGCGGCAAGAAACTCGGTAGGCCGTTGGGACATTTTGTATTTTCCCTTCTTGGGGTTTAAGAGGATCATAATTCAGGAATATTTTTCAGAGGGCTCTCTGGGTCATCCAAGGAAGTCTGCGCTCATGAAGGAGATCAACTCCTCAGCGGCCTACTTTGCTTGCAACCCTGCCGACGTCTTTCATCAAGACAAGCATACCGTCATCCCTTCTGCTTGCGCCACGACTGATTGATTCCTGGTGGCCCAGTGGAACCCTCTTGCCCATGTTTTTGGTTCTAGGCTCCCGTAAAAAGTACCCAACCCTGAACCCTAAACCCTAGACCCGAAACCCTAAACAACCAACCCCAGAAAGGGTACCCGCCTCTCAAAATGGTTAAGGGGCTACCAAGGATTCCGCCCCGTGCATGGATCCAGATGCCAGGGCAAGGTTTGGGGTCTCATTGTGGTCTTAAGACTTTTCCGTAGGTTACCCAAGAATCCCAAAAGTATTTTTCAAGGCCCTGCCAAAAACAGTAGGTTTGGGGTTCTTATGGACTTGTTAGCACACATTGAACTCCAGCTGCTGGAGTTGGTAGTACAGCGCACGTGCGGCCATGAAACTCACCACTGAAAGAAGCCCCATGTAATCCGATGCCACCTTGAAGTTAACCTAGACCCCCCGAGGGGTTGGGGGATGGGCTATCATACCTATAGAGTCCTTAAAAAGGACCCCCCGTTACAGTATTGGTTCTGGGGATTAGCCTAAGAATAGTCCCATCCTGCAAAACTGTGAGACTTCTTGTGGCGGATTCAGTGGTCCAGCCGGAATGAGTGACGAGGTCAGAAGGGGGACCCTTTGCGGGTGTGGCTTCCTGCCCAGCCAGACTTCGACTGGGTTTTGGAGTTCTATACTTTAATGCTGTATTTGGGTTCTGGGTTCCTTTTATAGCTACCTATACCTAAAGCGTGTATATTTTTCCAGAGTCTACTCCACAGTAGGGTCTAGGATCTAGTGAGGATTTGGGGTTCATCTGCTCTGTACTAGGGGATAGGGTCAGTCACATTCCGACATCGCGAGACTAGGCTGTTGACCCAAACCCTAAACCCGAAACCCTAAACCCTAAACCCTAAACCCTAAACCCTAAACCCTAACGTGCGGAGATGGTCTGTTTGGTCGTGAGCCAGAGCCTGCGTCCATGATCTTCAATTTAACATAGGGTTTAGGGTTTTAGGGTTTAGGGTTTAGGGCCTCATGGTCTCGGTCTGCCTTCTCTTGCTTTCACTCTAGGGCTGGCGATCACGCGATCATGACAAATCTCTCAGTCAGTTCGGGTTTCGGGTTTAGGGTTTAGGGTTTAGGGTTCAGGGTTCAGGGTTTAGGAAGCCTTACCGCGATGTCTTGCACAACAGCGCAGCAAAGGATGTCCAGCTGCAGTGGAATCTCAAGACGGACTATGCGTAGCAGTACCTAGCTTACAAGAAGCCAGTGTAGAATTTTGATTTTCGACGTCACAGCTTCCACTGGGTAGCTGCTTATAGGCTCATGCCGTCCGAAATTCCTGTCACTTGTCACTTGTAGTCAGAATGAAGGGACGGGCTGTCCGATGTAAGCCGTGGCAGCTTGCACAGGCGTCTGGAGAGAACCCTGCCATTCCCTCCCCCTAATACTAAATCCCCCCCCCCTACCCTTATCATTATAGTTATATTGGAGTATAGGTGGGGGGGGCTATTTAATAGAAGGGTGAGGGGTGCAGGTTTACAGGGGGTTATGTTTGGTAGGGGGGGGTGGGAGGGGTTATTTTATACTAGGGGGTAGAGGGGGGGGGCGGCTGAACAGTAGGGGGCGATCCTTAACATGAAGGTTTGGTCCTTGATTAAGGGGTATTGGGCTCTTTGGGTAATTCCCGAGTTTCGGAACCCCTAAACCCTAAACCCTAAACCCTAAACTGAGAACCGCTCTCAAACAACGGACAGCCGGCGATCCCTCCCTTCTTTTGCAGCCTGCATGCAACCTGCGTGCGCCTGCAAGCATTGCGTCTCGAAGTCGAGTCTTTTCAGGTTCCCCTAATGAAGATTACAGTCTGGGGGTGGGGGGGGTTAGGGTTTAGGGTTTTTAGGGTTTAGACTTCATCGGCCTGGATGTAAAAGGGTTTAGGGTGTAGAGTTTCAGGGTTTAGGGTTAGGGGTTTAGGGCATAGAGTTTGGAATGCCTGTGAGAGAGAGAGAGAGAGAGAGACTGAGAGAGAGAGGGTTTAGGGAATATGGGGTATATCCCGGTTTTTGGAAATGCTCATATACGGACCTTCAGCTTAGGTAGGTTGTGGGCCGTGTCTTGTGCCCCTAAACCCTAAACCCTAAACCCTAAACCGATGCAACCTCAGGAAGCCTCGACCTGATTTTCCTTCTGCACGCGTGATCGCATTGAGGTTACTCTGCTCTTGGCCAGGCCACGCTCCTTAGAAGACACTGCATAGGTTTTAGGGTTTAGGGTTTCGGGTTTAGGATTTAGGGTTTAGGCTTTAGGGTGGGTATGTCCCAAAAAATAGGCTCCCCCTAAGAGAACTGCATGTGTCGTGGAATGTGTCTGGCCTAGGGCTTGTCTCCTTGCTAGCCCAGGGGTACCTTTTTCCATTTGTTTAGTTCTCAAGGTTCCCTTGTAAAGTAACCAACCCCAAAATGGGGGTTTAGGGTTTAGGGTTTACCTTCTAGCTCTTTAACTTTTGTGGGTTGGTTACGAAAATCCTGGTTGTTCCTCGTCTTGCGGGAATAACCTCGATTTTTTAGAAAAACTGGGTTCTGCGAATTTGGACCCGTATTTTCGCCGTAATTTGCCCATATTTTCCCGTAGTTTACCTGTGTTTTCCCGTAGTGAGAAGCCTGCTAGGGAAAACCGGGGCAACACGAAAAAATGTAGGCAAAAGATGTTCTAAGTAGGGTTTAGGGTTTAGGGCTACTAAGGAGTGGTTACTGGGCTAGTATTCTCTTAAGGTGCCTCTATTGCCCTTTTGCGGTTACTGGGCTACCAAGTGTCAGGAATTCGAAGTGCCTTCGAAGACTGTCCCTTCGGAGTCATGGCCGAGTCAGCGGGTCCATGAGACAGCCCGGACCCGAGACCCTAGACCCTAGACCCTAGACCCTAGACCCTAAACCCTAAACCCTAACCCTAACCCTGACCCTACCTTAAGAGAACTCAAACCTACTTTGTGGCACGGTTCTTACAGTATAAGGGATGCCCAACTTATATTTCACCTTCACCACCACCAGGTGCAAGTCATACTCCGCCAATACTTCATGGCACTTATTCACCAAATATGACTGTACTTACAACCCACGTATAAGCCCCTGGAGTGCCCTAATATGGTTGCAAGTACACTTATAATTGGTAAATAAGTACCATGAACCTCCAAGTAGACGAGTCCTGACCCGCGGGCTCAACGCGCGCGCAAGGACGAGTTTCTGCAGAATGCCTGAGCGCGAAATGGTGGTTTCCGAAATCAGGGGTACCGTTTTAGGGGTCCTTGTTATACGGGAATCCTATTATTTGGGTCTATTTCGGGTGTCCTTATTTTCGTAAACCCCCAAATGAACCCAAAAGGGTGTGTGTGTGTGTGGGTGTTTTGGATTCTATATACTTTGACCATTGGGGACCCGAAAAGGGTTCAGGGTTTGGGGTTTCCATATACCTTAATATAGGGGCCTTGTTAATTAGAGTAGTGGGGTTAACTATTATAGTTCATTTCATCTAGGGACCATAAGGGATACCACTAGTATTTCTTACGACCCCGATATTGGATTGCCCAATATACCTTCATAGGGATGACATGGGGTATATGACCTCTAAACCCTAGCCCTAAACCCTAAACCCCAAACCCCCCAATCATAAGGTTCATTTCGTCCCCAAAGATTGTAGGGTGCGCGAACTGGTAGGAGGCCACACGGCACGCTTCTGCACCCAAGGCTCACCTTACCCTCGGCCCTCCTCCGCGTGTGTATCGGTTACCCGATCTAGGGTTAGGGTTTAGGGTTTATAGGGTTTAGGGTTTAAGGCAGACGAGGAGGGTGGAGGGCATGGTGTTTTGTCCAACAGTTACCTCGAGTTGTCCCACCTAGGCGGGTGGCAAAAAACAGGCGATGTTTGGGGTTTGCAAAGAGGGTTTGGCATGAACTTAGGGCTTTTCCTTGGAGGTTCATGGTACTTATTAATCAAGTAATACTGTACTTATGACTGTACTTTTTACCATATTAGGGCACAGTCATAAGTGGTTAATAAGTACCATGAACCTCCAAGTAGTTAGCACCAAATACTTCGGTGTTTCCATCCTTCCGTCCCGAATGGCAGTCATTGTCGCTACCCAAGTTGAGCATGGTCGTGATGCTGGACCACAAACGGTTTACCGCCCTTTATACTACCCCCCCTAGGTTCCCCCCTTGAAATAACCTAATTCTCCCTAAATAGCCTGAGTTAGGGGGGGGGGAACCTAATTAGGGGGGGTAGTCTTGAGGGAGTAGTCGGGAAACCCATCATACAAGGGTGTTCAAGTCAAGGAGCTGTTGACATCAAGGTCCTTCTCCCTACAATTGGGGTCATATACCCTATGCGAAAAATGGCCCTATTCAGGCTCTTGGACCATAACCCCTGTTAGGGTTCATGTAGTCCCCAAGGTAGTCTAAACTCTGAACTCTAAACCCTAAGCCTTATTCCGACCCCCTATATTGGTTTAAGGGTCCTGCCCTTAAGGAGCAGTTGAAATCCTAGGTAGGCCCTTGGGACATTTTTGTATTTTTCCCTTATTGGGTTTAAGAGGATAGTATATGAGGAATATTTTGAGAAGGTCTTATAAGGGCCATCCTAGAATCAAGGGTTTAGGGTTTCGGGTTTCGGGTTTCGGGTTTAGGGTGACCCTAAACCCTAAACCCTAAACCCTAAACCCTAAACCCTAAACCCTAAACCCTAAACCCTAAACCCTAAACCCTAAACCCTAAACCCTAAACCCTAACCCCTAACCCCTAACCCCTAACCCAAACCCTGAACCCTAATGCGGTTTTCTTTCTTGGCAGTGTTGACGGCAAAAGCACCGGCAAATCGCTTGCACGGCCCCTGCGCGGGTGCTGAGGCGGTCCCCAAACCCTAAACCCTAAACCCTAAACCCTAGACCCTAGACCCGAGACCCTAGACCCTAGACCCTAAACCCTAAACTCTAAATCTAAACCCTAAACCCCAATTCCTTGGGGACCACATGAACCCTGAAATTTGGGTCATGTGCCCTTATACTACCAGAATTCCTCTTAAGGTATATTAGGGTCATATATCCTTGTACTCCGATAACTCCTGTTAAGGCATATGAGCCATAAACACTTTTAGGGTTCATCTCGTCCCCAAGGATTCCTAAACCCTCCCGCAGCACGAAGCTTCTCAAAGGGTAGAGGGGTGGAACAAGCTCCCGAATGCTGTCGTGCTGCGTAGCTCCGGACGTCTCCACCACTGGCGAAATGCTCTCCGAAGAAGAGTTTCTGCGAAAGGAGGCAATGCTGCTGGAAGAGGAGATACTTAGCAGTAGAGTAGGTAACCTTTAACCTTTTTGGGTTCCTATATACTCCCTCTATAACCCCAAAAGTTAAGGGTTTAGGGTTTAGGGTTTAGGGTTTGGGGTTTACCTTTAGTTCCCCTAGGAAACTGGACAACTAAGGATACGGGCCGCGGGGATGGAGCACTTGTTGGGCGAGCACCGCGTCGACATGGGTGACTTGGTAGCCCAGTGGTACCCTTTACCCTTTATTCTGTTAGGGGGTGGGGGGGGGGGGGGGGGGGGGGGTTCGGGTTTAGGGTTTAGGGTTTAGGGTTTAGGGTTTTAGGGTTTTAGGGTTTTAGGGTTTTAGGGTTTTAGGGTTTCAGGTTTAGGGTTTGGGGTTCAGGGGAACCCCACCCTTATCAAGTAGCCAACCCCAAAAAAGGGTGGGAGCCCTTCTTATGAGATGGTTACTGGGCTACCAAGGTGAAGCCCTAAAGACAGATCCAGCGTTCAGGCCCTTGACTGAGGCCTAGATCCCCCTCGGGTTTTTTTAAATGAGATTTTTGTTTATGTAAAACCCAAGAGGATATTAGAACATAGTATTTTTTATTAAGGTGGAAGCCCAAAAGGATATTAAAAAAAAACCGTATTGTTATTAAGGTTCTAAGGATTTTTATTTTTGTTTATATAAAAAACCCAAGAGGATATTTTAAAGAGCATTTTTTAATTAAGGTTCTAAGGGGAGAAGAGAGGCCGAGTTGGACGCTTTGGTGGAGGCCGAGATTGCGCGAACCGGTGGCCTCGAAGAGCCCGACTCTTAGGCCTCTTTGGACATCTTTTTTTTTTTTTTTCAGTTTGTGTGCACTTTATATTTCCTGGGTCTTGGAGTACTATACTTCAATACTTTTTTGGGGTTCCATTTTTGTGGACACTTTTTTGGGCAATTTTTGGGACACTTTATAATTCCTAAGAAGCAGCCAAAAATTTTTCCCAGGGTTCCAACAAACCCTAAACCCTAAACCCTGAACCCTGAACCCTAAACCCTAAACCCTATAACCCTATAACCCTATAACCCTATAACCCTATAACCCTATAACCCTATAACCCTATAACCCTAAACCCTATAGCCCCTAAAGCTCAGTAGAGGACTGGGGCTCCATGACCTGGATGGATGAAGGGATGGAGCCCTTCCCCAACCAGCAGCCGATCCCGCCCGTGCCCGCAGTGCCGGAAGATGCGCCGGTGGTGAAGGCCGTTCCTGGGTTGTGCTTTGGGATGTTTGCTTTATTTTAGGGTTTAGGGTTTAGGGTTTAGGGTTTAGGGTTTAGGGTTTAGGGTTTAGGGTTTAGGGCATTTCCCTTCTTTCCTTATAAAGAGAACCCAGTCATACAATAGTTTTCAAGGGGGATGACAGCACAACTCAGGTTCTTGTAGGCCCCACATACAAGACCAGTAAGCACAGCATGCCCTTGCTGGGCCGACTGGAAGTTCTACTTGGATCTGTTGCTTGGTAGCCCAGTGGTACCCTTTACCCTTCTATTTTGGTTCTGGGTTCCCTTGTAAAGTAACCAACCCAAAAACAAAAAGTGCCCTTTTTTGTGTTATGGTTTCTGGGCTACCTAGGTTGGTGCCTTGGAAGATATCCTGGTTGCGTTGCAACATGCCAAAGTCACTGGGTGGGCCCTTGGGACACTTTGTCTTTTCCCTTTTTTGGTTGAAGAGGATCATCTTCTAAGCCCTAAACCCTAAACCCTAAACCCTAAACCCTAAACCCTAAACCCTAAACCCTAAACCCTAAACCCTGACTATTTTTTCAGAGGGTTCTAAAAAGGGCCATCCAAGGTCAGGACTCCGGAGCTGAAGATCTTGACGGATGCGAAGAAGACCCTTGGTAGCTGAATGAGTGCACCCCTAAACCCTGGACCCCCTTAATTTGAACCCTAAACCCTAAACCCCCAAAGTTTGAGCCCTAAACCCTAAACCCGAAACCCTAAACCCTAAACTGTGGCCACACTAGTTGGGGATACTACAACCCCCTAGAACTGAAAGTGTACACTTTTTCGGGGGGTGGGGGGGGGGGGGATTGTGAACTCAGCAGCTAAGGACTGGCGGATGGCCTGTGGCACATGAGGCACCTAGGTAGGCCCTGAAGGGACATTTTTTACAGTTATTTTCCTTTTTGGAGGGGGCTGAAGAGGGACGATAGTCTAAGCCCCAAACCCTAAACCCTGCACCGTAAACCCCTTTTTTCAGAGGGGTTTAGAAAAGTGCCATCCAAGGCACCCACCCGGAAGAACATCCTAAGCTCCATGCAGTGGTTGGTGCAAGATGCCAAGCCTGGGGATAGTTTGCTCTTCTTCTTCGCAGGCCCCTTCGAGATTTTTTCGTTTAGGGTCTAGGGTCTAGGGTTTAGGGTTTAGGGTTTAGGGTTTAGGGTTTAGGGTTTAGGGTCTAGGGTCTAGGGTCTAGGGTCTAGGGTCTAGGGTTTAGGGTTTAGGCTCAAATTCCTAAGAAATAGCTAAAATTTAGCTTAAGCCTGGAGATAATCTGCTCTTCTTCTTTGCAGACCATGGTGGCCCAGTGGTACCCTTTTTCCCTTTTGTTTGGGTTCAGCGGGTTTAGGGTTGAGGGTTTAGGGTTGTAACCAACCCAAAAAAGGGTGCCCTATTACAATACGGTTTTGCTGGGCTACCAAGCAGGCCATGCTGGCCAGTCCCGCGACACGGATGGTGATGAGCCTGGGTCATTGTTGAAAATCATTTTACATGTTTTGGAGTACTGTACTTAAACCCAATCAGGAACAAAACCGCCCTAAACCCTAAACCCTAAACCCTAAACCCTAAACCCTAAACCCTAAACCCATCTGGTGCAGGAACAGGATGGACAAGATGAGCACATCTGTCCGGTGATCCAGGCGCAGCATCCCAAGTTCGCTTCTGCATTCGATGGCTCCCTAGAGAAGCTCGGAATAAGACCCCGGGGTATATTTTCATATTTTTTTCATATACTTTCCCGGTTTAGGGTTTAGGGTTTAGAGTTTAGGGTTTAGGGTTTAGGGTTTGGGTTTAGGGTTTAATAGGATCATACTTCGGAAGATTTGTTCAGAGGGTTCTTGTGGGCCATCCTAGGAAAGAAGAGGCAGATGACCTGGTGGGTCGTGGGATCAGCGACGATGAGATCTTCGGTGTGATCCTTGGGGACCAAGTATGAACCCTAGAATTTTGGGGTCATGCACCCTTATACTACTATAATTCCTGTTAAGGTATATTGGGGTCATGTACCCTCATACTACTAGAATTTCTCTTAAGGTAATATGAACCATAAGCCCTTTTAGGGTTCCTTTCGTCCCCAAGGATGTTGAAGGATCTGCCCGAGGGGGTGCGCCTCACCACGATCCTAGGCGGGACTTTGCTACAACTTTATGCCTTTATTCACCCTAAGCCCTAAACCTACACCCTAAAGCCTAAACCCTAAACTTTGGGGCTGGGGTTCCTCTAGTTTCATATGAAGGGGGGCTAAAAATTGCGCTTTTATGGGGGGGGGGGGGGGGGCTAAGGGCAACCAAGGATCTTTGATGCTTGTCACAGTCAAACCTTGGCAGATCTGGCACATTCTTATGAGGTGCAGGTGGAAGGTGACGAGATGGCCCGTGCCAAACGACAAGAGCCGCCACCCCCTGGCTTCAGCTTTGACAAGCGTCCTTTGACTCATAAGGACGTGAAAGGCAAAGAGTGTGCCGCCAGTGTCCTATGCCTTGCAGGCTGCAAAGATCGGGAAACCCAACAAACGTGGTGCGACCAGAGCGGTCGCGGAATGCGGGGAGCCTTTTTTCTCACGAACATGTTGGCCAAGGCAATCGCTGGCATGCGCACTCCAAACCCCAGCTATGCTGACGTCTTGAGGGAGATCACAAGAGATTTCTACCGCGGGAATAGGCTCAACATGAGCATTCCCAGTTTCTCCACCTCATCAGCAGTTGACCTTGATGCAAAGCCTTTCAGTTTCGTGGGACCACTCTGAGTTTGTGGCAGTCTATTGACGTCCATCGCTTGCAGCTCCCCCGTGATCCGAGGTCAAGGGAGAAGGGAGAAGCTTGCCAGTTTCACCAGTTCGCTCACCGGCCACTAATACGAATCATACTAATATATGTACTAAATGATGTGAGTGAGAATGTGTTCTCAGCTTCTCAAAGCTCTGTAGTTTCTAACATCCGGCGATACAGCGCCCCAATGATGCCTCTACCTGCACCCGCGAAATATCCATTCGACCGGGGCCGGGGCCGTGTCGACGTGTCGATATCGACATGGACATCGGCCCGGTAGGCTGGAGAATACTTTTCTTATGCCAGAGCTGCATCGACCAAGTGGGGCCAGGCACCAAAATAGCCTCGAAAAAGCGAATCGAGATAGCATTCATCTAATGTCCTTGAATGGCATAACATCGTGTGTATCTCGTGACGGTCCGCATCATACACACATCACATGTCTATCTTGTGGTATTGTATGCCGATCCACTGGCACGTGCTCACACTGTGTCAGGTGAAGTCCTGCTGGTCTCGCCGGTTTTCGTGATTGCATGGACCGTGGAAAATGGTCCTGGTCGGAGAGTTGGGATGGAGGGTTTCGGGTTTAGGGTTTAATTAGGGTTTGTCACGGATCTCAGCTCATCTTACTAGATGACCCAGGACGGAATATCGGTTACGGTTGAACAAGGAAATTGACGGTCCAGGATTCCTTGCACTTACTGTCAAGCTCACGTGTTGAGTCCTGCACACTGGCATTTGTTCAGACTGCTGAAAAAAACATCTCCACTAGAAGACCTAGGGTAGGCCCTCATTCCCTTTTTAGTGTTGAGGTTCCCTTGGAAGCCCCTTGAAACCCAAAAGGGCTCCCTTTTTATTCCTAGGTAGTAGCTCTTGGGTAAACCCTATCAAGGAGCCACCATTCCATGAGTTCGGCCGGATTTTGCATGGCTAGAAACCCCGGTTGAGCGGTGATGTGTGGAGCTGGGTCAAGTGATGACCTGGTCTTCCCACCCTTGGCCACAATTGCTTTCTATGTTTGCATGTGTACCCCTAAACCCAATTGGCTTTGGCCTGAGGGAAGTTGCATGGTCCCTGCGTATGGGCCCTTAAACGGGGACCCCTTATATACCCCTTATATACCCTGTACAAATTAAGGGCCCATGCATCAGAACCCTTCAAGAGAGGCAAGGGGCCATGTTGCTTTTTCATAGCGGTTTAACATTTTATTTTTTAAGGGTACTTAAAGTCAATAAGGAGTAGACGTTTTAAATTTTACTCCTATCCCAACCATGAACTAGTTAAACCCCCTTGGTTCTTAGTAGGGAATGAGGAAATTTTGGCCCTATATGTACCCTTTTAAGTATAGCCCAAACCCTAAAAACCCTAAGCCCTTAGATTTTTGATGACGAGAAAGTCCCAAAATCGCTCTTAGCAGCCAGAGGCTCCAAACTTCGGCAGGTTTGGATATTTGTGCTTTAGGTTAACTAGGGTTTCTGGTTTAGTTTGTAGGGTTATTTCGCGTGCCGTTTTAAGGGTTAGACCCCAAAACCCTTAACCCACAGCCCTAAACCCTAGAACCCCACACCCTGAAACCCTGAACTTCTCAGCCCCTAAGCCCCCTGACCGTAACCCCTAAACCCCTCAACCCCAAAACCCCTAAACCCCCCCGACAACCGAAAAGGGGTAGTCATTGGGCTCTCTGGATTCCGAGCCATGGCATCAAAGTCCTCGCGCTCTGCAAGGGTCTTCGCGTTCCTGGTGCTTGCGGCTGGTCCGCACCCCTACATAGAAGAACATCATAAGGTTTAGGGTTTAGGGTCTAGGATTCAGGGTTTAGGTTTTAGGGTTTCGGGCTTCTAATGTAGTGGTGATCTAATGTAGTGGTGACTTACGGGTATCTTTACAGAAGATAGTACTCGAGTATCAAGATCTTGTTTTTTTTGGCGAGAGGTTACTGGCGTTTTCAGATCCAGGGCCAAGAGAGGAGGGTATTCTTGGAATAAGCTGGCATATGGTCACTTCTCAAAAGTGTCGTTCTTTTTGGGGTCCTTGTTGTAAGGCTGCCCCGAATATGTAGGGAACCCAATTTAGGGTTTAGGGTTTAGGGTTTAGGGCTTTTGAGAACTGATATCATATCCGTTTTGCAATTGCATGGGGGGTGTGGCTCGTAAGGCGTGCGGCGAGATGTGGCTTGTCCCCGTAAACTTGCGAAACGGGTGGGGAAAAAACCCTAAACCCTAAACCCCAAACCCCAAACCCTAAACCCTAAACATCCCTAAACCCGAAACCCTAAACCCGAAACCCTAGACCCTAAACCCTAAACCCTAAACCCTAGGGCAGGCCTTGGTCGGGCCTTGTGCCATTTTGTTAATTGGGATTGGTGCACCCCATTAGGCAGAAGAAAGAAGGGGTTTAGGGTTTAGGGTTACGAGCACATTGTTACTCCTGTGTTGGTTGCGGGTCTACGGTTTAAGGGTTTAGGGTCTAGGGTTGAGGGTTTACAAGGGGTTTAGGGTTTAGGGCCCTGGGACCTGGCTTATTGGGAGGGTTTACGGGAGCCCCATTCATGTTGTTTGGCTTAGGGGCTGTAGGGTTTACGACCTCAAGGCCCCTCTTCACATGCTTTAGTCATGCTTTAGGGTTTACGGTTAGCAGCCTCCTCAATCCGTGCTTAAAAAGAGTTTAGGGTTCCGATGATCCGTTCAAACAGGCGGCACACGTGTCGTCGCATGTGTCAATCCTCTTGCACACCACCACCCACCTACCCCCCATTAACCTATAAGCCGTCTAAACCCGTCTAAATAAACCCTTATACACCCTGTAGCGCAAACGCAATCCCTAGTAAGGACTGTTGGTATGTGGGGGAAAACCCTGAGTCCCTAAATCCTAAACCCTAAGCCCTAAACCCTAAGCCCCTAAACCCCTACACCCCTACATCCCTAAACCCTAAATCCCTAAACCCAAAGCCCTAAACCCTAACATCCCTAAACCCCAAACCCCAAACCCTAAACCCTAAACCCTAAACCCTTTAACCCTAAACCCTAAACCCTACAATTCCCTGAGCAGAGGTGGCCTGCCTCCCTTCCCCCGCCTTCGTCGGGAGCCCGAGCCGATCTCCGACGTCAAGGCAGCCGCATGAGAGGGACCCTCGGCGCCGACTTCATGAGGGTTTAGGGTTTAGGGTTTGGGGTTTAGGGTTTGGGGTTTAGGGTTTAGGGTTTAGGGCAACATGTCTAGGGGAAGCCCCCACTCCCCAGGCCCTTTAGCCCCCAGGGTCTTAGGAGCTTTGGTGGGTTGAGGCATTGTGGTTTTTTTTCGGTTGTGGGATGTCATTCCCGAGTACAGAAGCCCAAACACCATGTTGTATGGCCAAATAGGTATGTCGCTAGAACAACACCGCCCGGGACCTTAAACCCTAAATTACACTAGGGCCGCAAGAACAGAAGAACAGCAAGAGCAGCAAGAACCTTAAGGACTAAATGAACCATAAATGGATGATAGCCTCATCTTTGGTCCCCCCCCCAAGGAACAGTAGTCTTAAGGATCTTTAAAAAGGGTCTCCAAACCCAAGGGTACAGAATCTCTGGAAACCCTAAACGACTCTAAGCCCAAAACCCTTGGGTTTAGGGAGGCTCTAAACCCTATAAACCCTGAACCCCCTAAACCCAAGGGTTTAGGGGGGTCGCCTACCCTGTGCACTAAGACAGGGCCTGCAAGCTCGGCGAGCGCAAGCGACCGCGGAGTTCGAAGTGGGCGACGCAGCCCCTTTCACCGCATTCCTTGGGGAAAACATGAACCCTGCACGAACCCTGCAATTCGGGTTCAGGGTTTTTGGTTTTGGGTTTGGGGTAACCCGATGATAAAGATAGATGGACCATCAACCTAGGGTTCATTCAGTCCCCAAGGATTCGGCCATTCAAGAAGTAGCGTGTAAGCAGTCAAAGCGCGCTCATTTATTCCAGAGACTCACTTGCTGTTCCCTGTCTGTTGGGTACTTCAACTTTATTTGATTCGTGGCAATCGTTCTTGAACGTAGTGGTTGGTTTTGTCGATGAAATGTACAAAGGTCCCGCGGTTTTTGCTCTTCGGACGGTCTCTGAGCACAGTCAATCAAGTGTCCAAACTTCAACGGTTTTTTGGGGTAGTTTATTGTGTAATCGACAAGGAATACGTGAACCTCTGCGCTTGGGGTGGGACGAAGCTGTACTGACCGGACTGCATTGTGCCTAATAGACTCCTCAGAATAGGTCCGCGCACTGCATGCAGACCACCAGGAGTGGTACGAAGGCGGCCTGTTAGCATTGTGATTGCTTTCGCTTTTGAAATCTTAGCCTTGGCAACGAAAGCATTCAACTTGTACTTAAGTTACGAGTGCTTGTTGCATTGGTGCTGGTGCTGGTCTTCCTGGTAGACTTCGGTCAGTCGGGAGGGGGCCGGGGGCCTTAGAACGTTTTTTGTTGCATGAAGAATTGAGGCGAAGGATGTACCAGTACTTTTCGGGCAGGATGGGTCCCACTTTCGCCCGGTGCGCAGGCTTGCGCAGGCAGAGCGTAGAGTTCGGTTCCCTTTGGTGCACGTCGGCAAGTCTCTTCTCACAACAACCCTAAACCCTAAACCCTAAACCCTAAACCCTAAAACCCCCACGGAACCCTGCAGTTGACATGTTCTCATGAAGCCTCTTACGTTGCGAAAGGAGGCAAGAGATACGTCGGTGTCATGGATGTCCATCCTCTGTCTATATAGGACCCAGCGTAGGCCCGTACTAATTACCCGTTGTTTTGGGGGGTGGGGGGGGGGGGTGTTTAGGGTTTTCAGTTTTTAGATTCTAAAGTTCAGGTTCGCTGATAAGCAAAAAAATGGGGTAGCCTTTTATTCCTACGTTACTCTTGGGTCTAGTTGTCTGTTCAGGCGTCATCCAGGGCATCAACCCAGATGGCAGCTACTCCGTTCAGATGGCCGCTTGATCCAGGAAGTGGCTCCTAAACCCTGAACCCTAAACCCTAAACGCTGCCTTGGGTGAATAGGAAAACTGAAAGACTAGTTTGTCCACATGAGTAGTTTTTTGTTTCGGGTCCTTTTTTGGGGTACCCTCAAGGCACCCTTATGAGAAGGGCCCACAAAAGGGACCCTAATCTCGAGAACTGCCGTATATTCCTTAATTGGGATGTTGTGGTAGAACAATGATCCCACTTACAGGTTTCATTCGGTCCCCGAAGTGCTTGAAGCCCTTTCATCTCTAAACCCGAAACCCCAAACCCTAAACCCTAAACCCTAGACCCCAAACCCCAAACCCCAAACCCCAAACCCTAAACCCTAAACCCCAACCCGCAACCCCAAAACGCAGACCTCCCCCCAACATGGACCATCTGAGGACACCCCGGACTATGCCGAGTGGGTCGATGTGCCCAAGGATCTAGCGGAGCCGCTCTTCGTGTACAAGGATGGCTTCGGCTGAGAAGCTTTGAGCTCCTACGCCCACTTTAGGGTTTAGGGTTTAGGGTTTAGGGTTTAGGGTTTAGGGTTTAGGGTTTAGGGTTTAGGGTTTAGGGTTTAGGGTTTAGGGTTTAGGTCATTAGCAGTAAGAAAGTCGAAGGCCCAACCTAAAACAAAACCCCTAATCCGCAGGTGCTGGAGACGGAGCTCTGCATAGATTCCTGACAGCAGATGCCCTAAACCCTAAACCCTATGGGGGCTTTCGATTCAAGAGCAAGCGTGAGCAAAGCCACGAGGAAGCAAACACGGGGGGGGGGGGGGGCTTCATGCAGGTGGCACACAAAGGGGTACCGTGTTTTTTTTTTTTTAGTTTTTTTTTTTTTTTTTTCATGTTTTTTTTTGTCAAATTTAAGGCACGAAAGAAAGGAAGGAAGGCAGGAAGGCAGGAAGACAGGAAGGAAGAAAGAAAGAAACAAAGAAAGACAGAAAGGAAGGAAGCAAGAGGAATAAATAATATGGAAAGAAAGAAAGAAAGGCAGGAATAGAAAGAAAGACTGCAAGAAAGAAAGAAACACAGGCAGGAATAGAAAGAAAGATAGAAAGAAATACAGAAAGAAAGAATGGCAGGAATAGAAAGAAAGACAGAAAATCAATAAATAAAGAAAGGCAGGACTAGAAAGAAAGACAGAAATAAAGAAAGAAAGAAGGACAACAAATAAAGAAAGAGAGAAAGCAAAAAGGCAAGGCAGGAATGGAGGAAGAAATAAAGGAATAAAGAAAAACACAAGAAAGAAAGAGATAAACAACGACAGCAATAAAGCAAGAAAGAAAAAACAAAGGAAGGAACAGAGGAATACAGGAAAGAAAGAAATACAGCAAGACAGAATTATAAAATAAATAAAGAAATACAGGAAGGAAGTGAGGAAGAAAGAAAGGAATAAAGAAAGAAAGAACGAGAGAAAGAAATAAGGAGAGCAAGAAAGCAAGCACTACAGAGAAACACGAACGAAATACATAAAGCAAAAAAAGAAAGACAGGAAGAAAGGAAGGATGGAAGGAGTTTAGGGTTCCGCTCGCTTCGCACGTTCTTGGTTGACCCTAAAGACCCTACGCCTTAAACCATAAACCCTAGACCCCCAAAACCCGTATGTGGAACCTGTGAGGATACAACAAACGCCCTTCGGCACAGCGGCCGGGCAGTAGTAAACCCGAAGGATTTAGGTTTGTAATTAGGGTTTAGGGTTTGAGTGTTTGAGGTAAGGGATTACGGCTCTAGCCGGGGTCCGGTGTTGTTTTTTGCCTAGCTGTTAGATCAAACAAATCCCATTTGAAAACTATTGTGTTTGCAAATGGGGGGGGGGCTGCGCCCCCCCAACACCCCCGCCTTTTTATAAGCCGCCCAAGCGTGCTTCTGGTTCATACGAATCCCTTGCAAAACTCATCTTGCGGGATTGTGTCTGCAAATGGGGGGGGGGGGAATTCCCGGTGTGCAAGCGTGCTTTTAGTCTTTAGTTCAACGAACCGCTCCCAAAACTCATTTTGCGAACATCGCTTTGCAAATGGGGGGGGGGGAGTGGGGGGCCCCAAACCCCCCCGGCTTTTTGAAGGCGCTCAAGCTTGCTTTAAGACAATAAGAATCCCGTCCAAACCCATCATGCGAGCACCATGTTTGCATTATGTTTTTTTTGGGGGGGCGGGGTTGCTACCCCAAGGGTCATTAGATGTGGTCAGGTTCCGGACATGCGGTACCGCTGAGGAGCCTGCGGAAGCTGAAAACCAGCAAAATTCACCAAAAAAACCAGGAAAATACACAGAAACAAATTCCAACCAGAGGAGGAGGATAGGCAGAACCAGAGGGCATGTTCAGAAAACCAAAAGAAAAGCAAGGAAAAACAAAAGAAAACAAAAAACATAAAAAAATGACAAAAAAAATCCTCGCTCCCACACAAAGCAGGACCTCAAATTTCGCCTAACCCCTAGACCCTAAACCTAAACCCTCAACCCTAAACCGAGACCAACGTCTTCGCAGGACTACCGCCCTGGTGACAATGTCCTCTTCGCCTTGGAGGGCTTTGGAGCGCAGATTCTCGGCCGCTTTGGAGTTCGGGTTCAGGGTTAGGGTTCAGGGTTTAGGGTTCAGGGTTCAGGGTTCAGGGTTCAGGGTTTAGGGTTTAGGGTTTAGGGTATAGAGTTCATCGTTTAGGGTTTAGGGTTTAGGGTTGAGGGTTTAGGGTTAAGAGGGGCGGTGGGATATAGGTGGGCCAAGAAGCAAAAAGCGGGCGTCAAGGGTGCCGTTGCGAATTAGGGTTTGGGGCAAGGGTTTCGGGTTCGGGGTTTGGAATTTTAACTACAATAGGTGAGATTGGGTGGGGGGTGGGGGCGGGTTTAGGGCACCCAGGAATCTACAGACCTTTGCGATCGGAAGCTCCGAAAACGCTAATCCTCAAACCTTAAACAGAGCTGATCTGAGCTGTCCTAGTTCATCATCTTCTTCGAGATGCTGTGAAAATGATGGTCCCTCTCTGCGGTGCCCTCAAAAAGAGGGGCCGGCTTATTTGAAGGACCCCAGACGGGACCGAATTTTAGAGGAGTGCCCCAAGCCCCAAACCCCCAACCCTGAACCCTGAACCCGAAACCCTAAACCCTAAACCTTAAACCTTAAACCCTATACCCTATACCAAGCCCCAAGCCCCAAGCCCGAAGCCCCAAAACCCAAGGCCTGGCAGAGTTGCTGCCGTTCAGCCCCGAGGTGCCGGGGGGGCTGGGGCTTCTTCGAGGGCTTCAGGAGACAGGTAGGGTTTAGGGTTTAGGGTTTAGGGTTTAGGGTTTAGGGCTTAGGGCTTAGGGCTTAGGGTTTAGGGCTTAGGGTTTAGGGTTTAGGGTTTAGGATTTCGGAAACCCAAAAAACCTTTCGTCCGGTTTTCGGAGTCCTTACACACTTAAAAACTCTTCGTTTGCCTTGGGAACCGAATGAATCCCAGAATTGGGGCCATCTACCCTATATGCTACCTAGACTCCCGATTAAGGTGCGTAGCCTTTTTTTGGGGGTTCATCATTGAATGTCGGGGCCGGAATGATTACGAACGTTATGCTCTTACGGTCCCCATACAATCATACTACACCCCCCCCCTAAACCCTAAACCCTAAACCCTAAACCCTAAACCCTAAACCCTAAACCCTAAACCCTAAACCCCAAAAAAAACCTGTTCTAATTTTTCAGGCCCCTAGCGTAACAGGACTTCAGAGGCCCAGATACCAACAAAACAACTTCATAAACCTCACTAGTGAGTGGATGTCTTTCGATTAGGTCTTCGATTAAAGGGTCTAGGGTCCTAAACCCTAAAAACCCGAAACCCCAAAAACTGTAAACCCTAAACCCCAAACCCTAAACCCTAAACCCTAAACCCTAAACCGTCTTAGGATTAGAGGGCTCCCGTTTCTTGCCTGGTGCTACGGAGGAAGAGCCGCCGAGCCTCCGAAGTCCCAATCCCTAATCCTGCGAACAGAGAGGGTTTAGGGTTTAGGGTTTAGGGTTTAGGGTTTAGGGTTTAGGGTTTAGAGTGAGAACCAGGGCGCATGACCATTTCGACTGCCTCCCAGGCTGCCCAATAGCCCTTACTTGAACATTCCTTCAAACCCTGAACCCTAAACCCTCAACCGGAGAGTCGAGACCATGAACCCTAAATACGATAAATCTCTTTACAGCTTACCTGAAGGCTCCAATGTAGTTACTTCCTTTTTGGGTTTAGCTTTAGGGATTCTAGTATACGACCCCAAAAAGGTACTACAGAGGAGCCTTTGGGTAGATTCACCCTAAACCCTAAACCCTAAACCCTAAACCCTAAACCCTAAACCCTAAACCCTAAACCCTAAACCCTAAACCCTAAACCCTAAACCCTAAACCCTAAACCCTAGCGCAGTGCAGCTCTGACATCCCCGCTGTGCCGCCTTCACATGAACTCTGCTGCAAGTAAAATCCCTCTCCAGGATGCCCAGTAGTACCCTTATTCCCTTTTTTGGGGGGGGGGTTTAGGTTCCCTTATAAGCCCCTTTAAGCAAAAAAGGGCACCCTTTTAAAAGCCTAGGTTACTGGGCAGCCTAGCTCTTAAGGTGTATGGACCATAAACCCTAAACCCTAAACCCTTGTAGGGTTCATTTAGTCCCCAAGGTCAAGCCATGAAGCATGTGGCCCTTAGATAGTTGTCTCTGGGGTGCCAAGGACGGCCATATGGCTGAACTTATGGGGGTATTGGGCTGTCTCGGGTTTAGGGTTTAGGGTTTAGGGTTTTAGGGAATCAGGCTACTACGCGGTGCAGTACGTTCATCCGCAAAGAGCTGGTGCGATGGAGAAGGAACGGAAGACGATCGTGCATGCCAAGGACGTGCATGCCACACTGTGGGCACACAGCATTGTTGAACAATGTCAGAAGTTGTGCTCAGTTACAAAGAAGGACCCTTAAGTTACAACTTGGCTTGCAAGTCATGTTATTATACGAAAGTCATGTTGCAAGTTGGACCACATGACTTACAAGTCCTTTCAAAAGCGTATGCAAATAGGCAAGCTTTACGAGAGGTCGTAACTTGAGATAACCAGTTCTGTTTTCTGTCACAAGTTACCTCACTTGCCCGTCAGAAGTCGTGAGTCGAAAGCGACTTTCATCCTCATCCAAGCAAAGATTTGCTTTAGGCAGCTGAGGCTCTTTAGGGTTTAGGCTCTTAGGTTCTTAGGGTTTGGGGTGAGGCTCTTCCGCATGTGTGCGTGGCGTTCTGTTTGGGAAACATGCCCGAAACCCCAAACCCTAAACCCTAAAAAACCCTGAACCCTGAACCCTAAACTCAGACATGGCTTCAGGGCCTTCCCGAGGTTCGGTGGTTTTACGCTCTGTGGTGTGTTTCTGCAACTTTTCATCCTTAGCCTTCTTGGGCATATTGGGTTTAGCGTTTAGAGTTTAGGGTATAGGGCAGCTAAAAATTGAATTTATGGCTACCCTGAAAGGTGTTAGGTGGATAGTCTTCTTGGTAGCCCAGTGGTACCCTTACATTTTCTGGTTATGGGTTCACTTATAAAATTGCCTGCCCGCGTCTCACATGGGCTAGGGCTTTTGAAGTGTTTTGCATTCACGTGAGGGCGTCTGTGAACTCCGAGGTTCGGGTTTAGGGTTTAGGGGGTTAGGGTTTAGGCAGGGTTTTGGCAGGGTTTAGGTAGGGTTCAGGGTGTATCGGGTATCAACTAACTGCAATACGGAGCCTTAGATATCGGGCACCCATGATGAGACCCCTAGTTTGCAACGCTCCCCGCTACTTTGGAGTTCTTCTTTCAGAGATCCTCGGCGTAGTTGTGTGCGAGGATGTCGAACCCTAAAATTGGGGTCTATATACCCTACGCCACTAGAATTCCTATGTTGGTCCCTTTTGGGGTTCATACTTCGTCCCATGAACCCTTTTAGGGTTCATGTTTCGTCCCCAAGTGTTTGGCAGGGTTTGGGGTTTAGGGTTAAGGGTTTAGGGTTTAGGGTTTAGGGTTTAGGGTTTAGGGTTTAGGGGTTTAGTAGGAGCCATAAGGAGACGCACCCTTGTCAGGCTGCGTAGTTCCTTTCAAGAGGCTTCATGTGGGGGGTTGCGAAAATAAGGGACCCCTCGTATTGGGTTTAGGGTTTAGGGTTTAGGGTTTAGGGTTTAGGGTTTAGGGTTTAGGGTTTAGGGTTTAGGGTTTAGGGTTTAGGGTTTAGGGTTTAGGGTTTAGGGTTTAGGGTTTAGGGTTTAGGGTTTAGGGTTTAGAGTTGAGTATGAATAAAGACCCCAATAAGGTAGCGCTAATTTCGGAAACCCCCCCCCCCATATTTGCACAGCCCCCCAAAAAATGGCTTGGGTTTCATGGCGTGTGAGAAACTGCCAAGATGCCTTCTTCGGATGGCCCTCTATGAACCTTCAGCCGCCTTCAGCCCCAAACCCAACTCGTGTACAGAGGCTCTGCATCAGGGCCAGGGCCAGGGTGGGCCAGGGCGGGGGGTCTGTTTTTGAGGGATATGGGGGGTGGTATGCCTGGGTTTTGGAGTACTATACTTCAAAACAACTTTTGGTCCCGGGTTCTACTATAGCTATTCTGACCTAAAAAGGTATATACTTTTTTCCAGGGTCTACTCCAAAGTAGGGGTGCCGAGATCCCGTTTCTGGCAGGACATGCGAATACGGACAAGAGAACTCCGCCCGGGGCAGAAGCCAGCCGGCAGTGTGGGTGTTAGGATTTTAACCTTAAGAACCCCAAAATCCCTTTAGGGTTTTTAACCTTAAGAACCCCAAAATCCCTATAGGGTTTAAACCTTAAGAACCCCAAAATCCCTATAGGGTTTAAACCTTAAGAACCCCAAAACCCCTATAGGGTTTTAACCTTAAGAACCCCAAAATCCCTATAGGGTTTTAACCTTAAGAACCCCAAAATCCCTATAGGGTTTTAACCTTAAGAACCCCAAATCCTAGTTTTTTGTACTCAGGCTCTTGTTCTAAAGCCCCTTATAGGATTCTTGGGTGAGCTGCAAAAAAGTAGGCTTTGGGATCTTAAGGTAGAGTGTCTCATTGAGGGGTCGCGCTGGTGGCTACGAGCACGCGCCCCGTCCGCCCACCCCCCCCGGCAGTACCCTAAACCCTAAACCTAAACCCTAGACCCTAAACGGACTGACACGCATGTAAACCATCCTAAACCTCTTGGCCCCCCTAAACCCCTGAGTACGAGAAGCCCTATGAAGGACTGTTAGTAC